CATGCCAAGGCTTAAAGCAGCAACAACGCTACATATAAAAACTGATGATGGTGGAAAAATACACCGAAACGTATTTTGATTAATAAATAGAGACAATAAATGACTGAAACCCAGGAATAGATTTGATTTTGTATTATTACTACCATGGTAAATACCTGCGGTTTTAAAGGATTCTACACTGGATTGCTTAGCAAGACTGTCCGCTTCACCGTCTCTTTGTCAATCGACATGTGAATCTTGTTCAGTCTGTCTTGAGCACTCTGTAAATTCACAGATATTAGTACCGATCGAGTACCAAGAAGTAGATCTTAAACACCTAGATTTGGTTCAACTGAAGCATAATTACCTGTAGAATGTTGGACAATACCGAAACCCGCTGTTTGGCATTAATGAGCTTCTTTAGATAGATTTCCAAATCGACAGTATGCTGCTGGGCCTCGGACACCTTCTTTAGTTCCTCAGCAAGACCGTCTATGCACTGTTTCAGCTCCAACTGTGAAACTCTACCAGTTTCTTTGTTATGGAAAATGCAAACGGGGTCAATGGGCATTACCTGGTGGCTCGCACGCGCTCGTCCAACTGATCTACTGTGGGCTTGATCAGGCCCATCAGCCCCTCGGCTATAGTGTCTCGAGTGGGGTTTTCGCAGAAATTCTCGGTGTTTTCATCCAGAGATGTGGCTGTACTTTCCGATTCAACATCCATCATGTGACAAGTATGACGTATTGTTTTTAGGCTAGTGCCTTTTAAATCTTCTTCACCTGCACCAGCTTGACGTCTCTCTCTGACGCATGCAGTTAAAAATGGATAGATATAGTTGCTTCAATTGAAACAATTTAGACTGGGGACGCACCTCAAATGTCATATGTCGCAGAGGTGTCATTAATGTTTTGAAAAATGAATCTTAACCTAATAAAACGAATTGCCCAAAATTCAAAAAAATGCGAAAAACTCCTAAAGCCGTTATCGCAGGACAGATTGCACAGCACCCAAAGTGGCTTGCTAGCGAGATGGCCGGAACAAATGGGCGTTTTTTCTGGGCATAGCACACGGTTCTACTGCCAGGACAGTGGCCCCCCGGCTCCGTCTTGCAAATTGCCCCCCTTAATGGACTTTCCTAACATTGCGTGGCCTTCGGTTTTCAAGTCATTGAAGAACCTAATTTTTACCACCTTAATAATAAAACCCTATATGGATGCCGAGTTCAGTTTGCCAGAATTTGTCCAGGGCTCCAAGAAGGCTGTTGAGGTAGGTACTACATCTTCCCCCATGATTCGCGTGTCCAAGATGTGCCTTCCAGGTCATATCCCATAGAATATCCGAATGCCAAGACTTGGATGGTTTAGTCACTGAAGAAATTGCCCCAGCCTTGAAGGGCACAGTGTCTCAAATGTCTGTGGAGCAAAGGGAGTTATTACCGATCGTAGTGGACGATATCTATTTCACCTTCCCCTATCAGGTACCACGGTGCTTCCACCCTGTTTTTTAGCACCCCTGCCGGCTATTTTAACTTCGACTAACTCACTTTCAGATCGGCATTATCTTCAATCAGGAAAACCCCGAGGTGCAAAAACGCTTCGTAGAAATCACAATGGTCTACCACGTGTTGAAAGGGCTGGCGGAAATGCGATTGAGAGGCGAGGAGCCTCCAATGAACCTCGGCCTGTTGCCCCAATATCAGGGAAAAATTTCGATTTGCAATTATCGATTTATCAAGGAATTCACAAAGGGTGTGGAAAGCGATTGGACTGTGAATCTACTCAACCATTTCCGGCCTATAGATGAAGAGTAGGAACTCTTCACGTTAGCTTTAAGGCAAACCCACACGAACTTTTCAAGCAGATGGTTAACGAATTATAGCGCGTAAAGTAAAGGATGGTTTGTTTCTATTTGCAGGTAGCGATGGGATTAATGGGATTGGTTTGGTCAAATCGGGCGCTTTGAGATCAATAAATAGTTGCTTTAAAATCGGAGCCGCGATTCTTCAGTAAAACACCGAACCCAATTGATATGAAGCCTCGCATTTTAGTATAAATCACATTTAATCCCCATTAAATAGTGGCCGCGCCCCAAGTCCAGGGAGCATCAAAAATGAAAAAGTTTAATTATAGAAGATTATAAGAGATGCCAACAGGGAGAACCACTACTGCAGAGTTGTAAGGAAGGCGGAATAACGTCCACACATAAGCAGGGAAGCAAGGACGAGTTATAAAAGGACGTATATGAAAAGACTATCGCCCTTTTGAAACGGAAGTACCAACCTGCTTTAGAGCAGGATGATCAACAGTTGCTAACATGTTCTGTCTAACACAATTAACAGAGAAAAGAATAGTGAGAAGAAAACAAACAAAAGAACATCTCTTTTACGACCTTTTAAAAGCTTACGAGACTGCACCCGTAACGAATAATCGTTCCTATGTGTTTAGGATAGTGACCAAGAAAGGACAAAAAATGTCTGGTTTTTAAGCGTGTTGAAAACAAACAATGTAGATCCTAAATATCACAAAATAGCTTACAAATTGTCTTGTCTGGACTTCGACGGGACTCAGCAAACGCACCATCGCATAGCATCTCAGCTATCAGGCGGCTGTTGCTTGTGAACAGAGACCAGATGCGACTTGTACATGTCCTTGTTGACCGTTCGAAACTGGCACATAAAGCAGGTGAACATCAAGTCCTTTTCCATGCCCGGGTGTTTCGTTTTTAGGTGCACCTAAGCCGGAAAAATGCTGCACTGTTTTTTTTCTGGTGATAGCAAGTGGCTCACCTTGTAGGTGCTGCTTTGGATGCAGGCATACGGGCAGTACGAACACTTGTAGGGCTTCTGGCCGGAATGTCTGAGCTTATGGCGTCGCAACGAGTTGTGATCGGCTGTTGAGTACTGGCATTGGTCACAGGAAAACGGCTTTTCGCCTAAAAGCCTTCAATTGAACGCAGGATTCGAAGAAAGCGCCATTATGAACGCACCTGTGTGGCTTCGAATGTGCATCTTCAAGGAGGCCTTGCATGAGCCCTTGTATCCGCAATAGTTGCACAGGAAGGGCTTCAATTTCTTGTGCACCGAGTCCATATGGCTGCGGAATCTTCCCGTATCGGAGAAGGATTTCGAGCACAAATCGCACACTTTTGGCTCCTTTTTCACGTTGTCTCTGTGAATGCGTCTGTGGTTTCTCAGCTGCTTTTGGTTTTTGAAGGCTTTCAAACACGTCTCGCACTAAAACAACCATTGCAAATTGTGAATTGAACTACACACACTGTACATATAGAGGATATCAGTTTCTTTACCATCAGTCTACCATCAAAAGCAAGACAAACATGGACTGTGAACGTGAATATGTTTTTGTCATAGCCTATGCTATAAACTCTCCACGCACCTGATGGGATTTTACATCGGAGTGAATGGGCTTGTGAACAATGTTCAGCTTGGACAGGCTGTTGCACTTATAGTCGCATTTGTCGCATGCGAACAGCTCCATGTCGACTTTGTGCTGGCGCCATAAGTGGGAAGTCAGCGGCTTCCACAGGGTGAATGTTTCCTGCAATTGCACACAAAGTTATAGAGTAAAGCGAGTTTACGCGCAAAAGATGCTATTTTTCGTTTACATTTAAATTACCCCATGAGAAAACAAGTTGTTTGCTGCGCTCCAACTTTCCTAACGCACTCTGTATTGTGGACATTTAAAAATATGCCGTTTAGTCCCTTGACAAAAGGACGATGAAAATTTAAGCGCGTAAGCGTAAACTTTCATTTTCTCTAAGGTGCATGCTACACATTTACATGTTTGGATGTAAACTAAACTCACCTGGCATTCCAAGCACATAAACCCGTTATTTAAATGGGAATCGATGTGATAGTCCATCGCTTTCGGGTCTTTTAGAATGACTTTGCACGAGGCATACACGCACTTTTGGGAGCTGATGTACTTGACTACTGGATCAGGTTCCTTCATTAGACTCGTTATCAATGTCTTGCTGTTGTTGGGAGTGATGTTCACTTGAGGCAGAAGAATCTTTTCGGCTTCTGCTGGCGCTGGAATCTCGACCGTTTCTGCTTCCATTTGACCACTGCATGCGGTTAGAATGAGCTCCACATTGGACGGCTTGCTAGGTTCCGGGGCTGCCAGTTCAGGCTTGATGCTGTCTTTGCTTGTAACCCCATTTTGGCTGATACTGTAGTCGCAGGTGATGAGCCTAGTAACACCATCCTTGCTATCCAAAGGTTTTTCGGTAGCAGGGTCCTTTCTGGCAGTCTTCCCTAACTCGTCCGTTTTATTCTCTTTATTCGAATAGAACACTATCGCCTGCAAACAACAAGTTAAAAATCCCTGCTGATCTACTTGCTACAAGCTCGACCTACCTGAACAATCAAATTCAGATCACTATTGGCCACACAATGGTCATGCAACAAGTGACTCTTAAGTGACGCTCTGTGGTAGAAAATGTTGTTGCATGCCGGGCACTTGAGTTGCACCAGCTTGGTCAGTGTCTTGTTCTTATGCACGTTCTCCAAATGCTTCGTAATGTTCGTCTCTTTGGTGCATAGAAATGGACACAGATTGCACACGAAGTAAAGCATGTCCTCAAACGATTCCTTATCGTAGTGCTTCGATGGAGGCGATATGCTGGAAGTGTTGCTGAGATCGCTGCCCCCCACTAGGCTCAAACTCAGGTCTGTGGGTTGCAGATTGCGAATAAGGGAAGACTCAACGCTTCTACTTAAGACTTCTTTTTTCTCGGGAGTTTCTATCACATCCTCATGGTCCACTGCAATGGGATCCTTCAGAACAATGTAGTTGTTCGTGTGCAGGTTCAGAGGGCCGTCCAAAGGAAGCTTATAGTCGTTCTCATGTAAAATGATCAGATCCATATTCTGGAGGTTGTGGTCACTGTGCGAGCTGTCCAAGTTTTGAAGAATTGACGACACCTGGCAGCTTCCAATGATCGGAAGACACTCCTATCGAGGATCAGGGTAAATCAAACGGAAAAGCCTCTGGAAGTCCGCAAAACTTACTTCCGTGGGTAGGAGTTCGACATTGTTGCTCCAAATTGGGTCGGCGCGGTTTCCTCCTACCACCAAGTGCTCCGACTTCATTGTATCGGCCCTGTCGCTCTGGAAGGTGCAATTTCGATGAAAATACTGGTGTATTTAAGGGTTAAAACTGGATAAATAAACAGATGTCACATTTGCTAACAAGCTGACAGAGTGACAGCCAATTAACCTACACAAATTATTCATGTTGTCGTAGGCAGTCGGTTATACACTAACGTGTGTAGGTGGAGGCGGTTGAGATTAGCTGAGCTCTTCAGTTAGTCCTATGCATTGCACTAATGTTATCAAAATTAGCATGTTTAATGAATAATTTTTAAGAGCAGTTGTGAACTAATGCAATCAACATCAGAATCAGCTGTTAGATTAAAACTGCTTTTTCTCAGTCACAGCTGAGGAATTTTCATGAAGCAGTCAGATCCTTTAGAGTTAAGTTTTATTCAAACTGCTAATTGCAGACATAAATGCATCAGGATCAGGGGCGGATCTAGCTTTAAATACAGTCTTCTGTTGTCTATGAAATTAGAAAAATTATCGTCTTTTTGTGCAAGGGTGGCGCAAGATTATTGTAAAATTTCATGTTTTCCGTCTCGTTTTGCATGTTTCTCGGAAGCAAAATGAGCAAGAACGCTCGTTTTTACATCATTCCAGAGATAACTAAATGG